TGCCCCCCATTGAGACATGAGGTCTCTCCCCCACAAGGGAACCTGGAAGTCTGTGACGAAGGGGCGTAAATTAGCCAATTGCCCATCCGGCCCCTTAATTTGCACCACGCTCTTAGAAACTCGAGCCAATTGGGTGCCCCCTATACCCTGTATTTTCCCCGCCACAGGTTGCAACTCCCAATGTGACGGCCATCTCCTTTCGGGGATGATCGTTACATCCGCCCCTGTGTCAAGCAGACCCTTCATGTTAACAAACTCCGCACCCTGCTTGACACTGCAATCAATGATAGGCTTATCTTCACCCACCACTTCCGCCCAGTAGACGCCTGGTGCGTGGTCGTCTACTGAAAATCTTTCAGGCATTGGGATAATTTGGGCAATAATTTGCCCTTTTGGCAGGAAATATGGTGGGTGAGTGCAGCGCGCCAGGAGAGTGAGGTTCTCCGGACCACCCGGGAAGGTAATCGGAGAAATCTCAATCTCTGGGGGTGTGTATTTAGTGTCCCCGATGGCAATAAACTTACAGTCGTGTCCAGTTTCCATCTGATCCCCCTCCAGAGGGTCCACAGCCACCACCGTCCAGTGCTGGGACCGGAAGAGGGTGTCTTTGGTGGTGATGAGATGTCGCGTCCGGGATACGTGCCATGTCCAGCGTTTAAGGTCTCCCCCCTCCGCGATACCTGCCCCATTTTTTGCATCGCGCGGGGCAGGTTCGCGCCGCACTCCTTGTTTTTTTTATTAGATACTTCTTTATGTACCCTCTCCCCTGAACCATCCCCCATCGGCCCCTGGTGAGGGTGGTTGGCAGGACAGTTCTTTGCCATGTGGCCCAGCTGTCCACACCGATAGCATTGCGTGGTTCTCGCCGGCGGAATAACGGTGTGCCCCGCCGGGTGCTGGGTCACTGCTGCCGTTGGTGGTCTCCTGACCGTGTGTGGTGGTGGTGGCACCTTGGACGTCCCCACTAATGGCACTTTCTTCTCGCACGCATCAATGAGGGCGTCCAGGGTCGGTGGTGGATACATAGGCAGACTAAAGATAACTTGTTTGCAGATGTCGTTGCAATTGGCTTTTGCCATTTCGAGGATAAATTGTTCTTGCATCTCAGGCCTATCCACCTGTCTCTCTATTTGTTCCTGCAACCGGTTCACAAAGATGGTAAATGGCTCATTGGGGGATTGTCTGATGTTCGAAAAGTTGGTAAGGGGTTCCCCCCCCGGCAAGATGTTAAATATTTTTTCAGCGGCCTCCGTAATTTTAATCAAAACAGGCCGGGGTAGAACCCTAGCCTGATCTTCTGGTTTTACCCAATTCCCTTCACCGCACAGATGATCAATTGAGAGAGGGTTTTCATCCGCGTCAACCGCGGACTCCTCGCTGCGCAACAACTCAGGAAGGATGGCCTCCAACGATTTCTTCCACCTCTGTTTCCACAGCCTATAGTCAGCTGGGGAAAGGAGGCAGGCAAACAACTCTTTTAAATCGTGGGGGACCATTTCGTTTGCGGAGAAGGTGGCCTTTAACAGGCCTTTAAAATATTCACTTCTCCTGCCAAACTCTTTCTGAGCCTTGCACAGCTCCCTCTTTGTCTGGAAGGAGAAGGGCTCCCATTCTCGGTACCTCCCCCCCCTTCCTCTAAAACTAACCGGTGCGGCAAAGGGAATTATAACCTGTTCCGGGTTCTGGTCCTCAGGCTTGTCACTTCCGGTTCCCGAAGCGTGGGAACTGGTAGGAGGGGCGTGGGAACCAGAAGGGGAGGCGTGGGAACCGGGAGGAGGGGCGTGGGAACCAGAAGCCGGAAGAGGCGGGGCTGGAGGACCGACTGAGGGGGAGGATTGCAGGGAGGAATGGCGGCCGGAAGGGGTGGAGTTTTGGGAGGTAACACTTTGGGGACATGCCCCCGAGGAGGAGGAACCACCCAAGGGGAAGTGGGAGGAGTCAGGGTAGGATCGAAGGGAGGGGCTAGGGAGGAAGGGGTTGGTCATTGAGGGAAGAAAGGGGTTCTGGGAAGAAGGAGCACAAGGGAGGGGGTCCGACCATGCGGTCCCCACCATCTTGTGCCCCTTGGGGGCCATTTTGAGGGTCAGGCAGGGCACTGGGAGACATAGGAGAACACTGGGGATAAGGGAAAATAGGGGATCCAGGGTTCTGGGAAAGTAACTGGGGATCATTAGCTTTATTAAATTGGGGATTTACAACTTGGAAAGGGGATAACTTTGGATGGACAACTGGGGATGTAGGGGAATGCGTAAGAGCTCCGACAGCTTGGCCAGGGCTACCGGGGCAAGGGTTCTGAGGGAGGCTTGGGGAGCCAGGGAGACTGCTGCCGACTTCGGAGCCCTGCGTTCTACGGGTTGCTCCGCAGGTCTCCCCCAACTTAGGAACAAGGGATGAGGAACATGGGGATGGGGAAACTGGGGAAACTGAAGAAACTGGGGAAGGCTGCGTTGGCTGCCTCTGCATCCCCCTTTTTTCAATCAAGGCAGTCCGGATTAAAACAAAAAGTGGGATTAATTTGGCGGCTGTTTTGTCCCCCTGAACAACTAAAGCCGTTAATTTAGACCCGACAGAATTCCAAAATGACACCGAGCTAACATTTTCAGGGGACACATGGGGAAAATGCAGGAACAGCCAACGTACCAGCCTTTTAACCAACCCACGTGAAAACTTATGATTCCCACCCTCAAGGATTCCCACAACTTGGAGAAAAATCCCCCTCTGCGGAGCCGACAATCGCACACCCATCTCTCACACCCCCGGCTCCGCAGTCTCACCACCCCCCAATGGCAAACTAAAACTTAAAGAACTAAAAATAAGGGTTTGGAACCGAACCACACACCTCCCCCCAGGGGAGTCACACCACACACAAAAGG